CTCTCCCACCACACCTCCCCCACTTCCCCCTCACTGTTCCCCACTTTCCCCTTTGTCCCCCCACACCTCCCCCAGTCCCCCTCTTTGTCCCCCCTTACCCCCTCACTACCCACCCCCTTGCTCAGCAGAGGCACCTCACTAGCTGTCCTGTTGTCCCACTGCCTGCAGCCGCTCAGCCCACAGAAAAGATGCCACCACACAGCTGGCCAGAGGCCGGGGGCCACGTGGTCCTCACCCGTGGGCCGCTCGGCTGCTTGGCTCGGCTGCTGTGCCCTGAACTTAGGAAGCCTTCTCCGTTCCCTTCCCCCCTCCCTTTCGGTGTTTACTTTGTAAAGCAGGTACCAGCTTGAGCTGTTAGTCTATGTTGTCACAGTCTGAGAGCCTGTGCCCACGAGGGCAGCACCCTGTACTGGTCTTTTCAGGATGCTGACCAACGGCCTGGTGGTGGGTAGGCCTGTGTCCTAGCCTCCAGGGCAGAAACCCTGGTAGAACCAGCCTCGTGAGCAGAGGCGTGGGAAGGGGGTTTGGGGCTGATGGGTTCCAATAATATCTGTGCACCTGTGAGTGGGGGTGTTCTTCGTTCCCAAGTACGTGTGTGTGCATGTAATGTTTAACAGGCCCGAGGTGCCCTGACTCAGCTGTGGTCTTCTGTATGTGTGTACGTGTGTGTGAGTGCATGTGTGAGTGTGAGTGTGATGTTTTAACAGGCCCGGGGTGCCCTGACTCAGCTGTGGTCTTGTGTGTGTGTGTATGTGTGTATAAGTGCATGTGTGAATGTGACGTTTAATAGGACCAAGGGGCCCTGACTCAGCTGTTTGGTTTTGCGTGTGTGTGTACATGTGTGTAAGTGCATGTGTGAGTGTGACGTTTGACAGGCCCGAGGGGCTATGGCTTGGCTTCCTTTTGAACTCTCCTTTTGGGATGGCTGGGCTCAGTCCAGGTAGACTGTAGACTCATCAACACCAACACCTGCTGTCACTCAAAACAGGTGATGAGTGAAGATGAGTGGGTTCTGCACAGGGCTGTCCTTTGCGGTTAGTGTGTCCTTAGCTCCCTCCTGCCTGTCTGCCACTCGCTCCTGAGCTGTCCTGCCTCCAGTGTGTCTGCACATTGGAGGGAGACAACAGGAACGCGGCTGTGACAAGCTTTGCTGAGTTAGGCTGGACGGCGTGAGTTCAGAGAGGAATTGAGGTGCTGTGGCCAGACAGCTGCCTGCCGGGAAACACCCTCCACCTGGCTGGGACTGCTCCTCTCCAGAGCAGGTCTCCTCTGTGACCGAGCGTCCTTGTCCAGGTCACCACACCTCAGTCTGAGCAAAGTTGAGGCTTTTCCCAGCCAGCTAATGAAAGCAAGGCAGGCAGACCTTCCCTGGGGCTCCACATGGAGCAGGAGGGGCTTCCAGGGTGGGAGAGGGAAGGAGGGCTTTGGAAAGCACTGACCAGGGGAGGGAACGGGCTGCTTCCTGCTCAGCCCTCCTACATGCCTGAGCAGACCCCTGTCCACACACCTGTGCATGTCAGTCTCACTCGGCCTCCTACACACCTGTGCACATCGCCCCCCCCCCTCGCTCCATGCACACACCTGGGGCACTTCCCGAAGCTCTTCTGCTCCTTCCTACCTTCTTCAAGCCCCTCACCTCTGGGGCCTGCCTTAGTGCAGTGGCCTGTCCTCCCTGTCTTCATACTGTGGTCCACACAGCGACTAGGTGGTCCTGTGAGAGAGAGGCTTCCTGTCTGAGAGCCCAGCTGGTCTTCACCTGCCCTGAGGTTGTGGGACCGGCCCTCTCCCAGCCTCTGACCTCACCTCCCAGCTCATGCTGACCTTGACAATGCCTCCAGGCCTGTGCACTTGAAGTTGCTGCCCCCCTGCAAGACAAGCAGCCACATGGGTGCTCAGTGGCCTCGTTCAAGGCCACCCAAGTAGCTCCTCCTCAGGGCCACCACCCCAGCCAGCCAGCCTGTTCTTCACCAGCCACCGTCCCAGAGCAGGGGTTCCCTGGGAAAAGGGCTGTCTGATGACGCCCACTGCTGTGGGAGGTCAGGCCGCCCCTGAAACTGACTCAGCATGCCGGCAGTGGTGGTGCCCCACGGGGAAGAGAACGGGCTTCGCTGCTAGCCGTGCACTGCCTGACAGTTCCAGAACAGCAGCTATGCTGTTACTGCAGACGTGCGGCGCCCCGCGGCCGGGCTGCGGGCTATGCCCCGCCCCCAGCCTGGGGCAGCACCGGCAGGTCCCGGAGGCCTGGGGGGGGGGGGTGGAGCCACTTCTCAACTCCAGCAGCCCCTGCGGAGTGAGCACTGGCCAGCACCCCACGCTGTCTCCCAGACCCTTATGGGTCTCAGGGGTGGGCAGGCCTGCAGAGACGGGGAGATGGTCTCAGGCTTCCTTTAGCCATGCCGCTAATTGCCATGTAATCTACACAGCCTGCAGGGTGGGGTCTCCCCCACTTCTAAGTGGGGAGCAAGGCCCTGCGAGATGGGACCTGCCCCTCCCCCTCCATTTTATGGGGGGTGAGGCCCTGCAAGTGGGGCAGCCACCACCCTCCTTTTATAGGTGTGGGCTGAGGCCCTGCACCTGTGAGGTGAGGACTTCCCTGCCCCTTCTCCCTCGATTTATAGTGGGAGGGCCAGGCCCAGCCAGGTGGAGTCTGCCATTGCGCCCCTCACCCTGTTTTATACGTTGGGGGCAGAAGCTCTGCGAGGTGGGGCTGTAGTCAGCACCCCCATTTTACAGGTGGAGGGCTGAGGCCCTGCGAGGCAGGTCTGCCCTATCCCCCTGTTTTACTACCTACAGGTGAGGGCTGAGGGCTGAGGCCCTGCGTCTGGGAGGTGAGGACTGCCACGCCCCCATGTCAGAGGTGGGAGGCCGAGTGTGAGGCTCAGTGACTGTGGATTACCGGGAGGTGGAGCCGGGGTCCCCGCAGAGGTGCCCCCACTCGGAAGGCCGCGCCCGCGGCGCACAGGGAAGCGCTACGCGCACTGGGGCCCGCGTCCAGGCCGCTTCCTGGGTCGGGCCCGCTGCGCGGCAGGAGACCCGGCCGCCTTCCGCGGCGCGGGGCGGGGACCGAGGTGGCGGCCCCGCCCCGCCTGCCGGGTGGCCGTCCGGGGGCGACACGTCCTGGGAGCGCCGGACGGAAGCTCCGCGGGAGTGACACGTGGCCTTGGGCGGCGGCGCTGCCGCGTGGGCTCAGCGGGGCCCCATCGCCTATCGGCACCCGGCCTCCGCCGATGCAGCCCGCCCCGGACGAGGCGCGCAGGGATGCGGCCCAGGACGCCCTGTGGTCCAGGTGGGCGATGGGTCAGGGCCGGTGGGGAGGGAGCGGCTGGTTCCGTCTGAGAAGGGCATGGGCCAGGGGCCGCGATCTGGCAAGCCCACGTCTGGGGAGGCTCCCAGGGTGCACGGCAGGGGGAGCGGGAAATGGTGGCTGCCAGACTCCCCACTGTCCTGACCCTAGTCTGACCTACAGTGGGGCCACCTCTGCTCAGCCTGGGGGCCTCCTGGGGGCACCCTGCCAGGAGAGAGAGAGGAGGAGAAAACAGGACTGCCAAGGAGGCTCAGGTCCCCGTGGGGCCTTCCTGCCCTCCATGACCTGGAAGCCCTGAGCCTTTGCAGGCAGGGCCCTGCTGGTGCGCATCCTCTGGGCCTGGCACTGCCCTGGGCCACCTTGTGTGCAGAAGGCCGCACTGCCGAGCAGGGGGCCGGCAGGGCCCACCACTGCAGGTGGTCATATGAGCCAGGATGGTGGGTGTAGTGTGGGCCCTGGGGCTCTGATGACACCTGGCCGCCTGCTGCCTGTCCACAGGACATCTGTGCTTACCAGTGCTCTGTTCCCATAGCCACCACCTCCAGGAGGGCATCAGTGTGGGGCTCTGCTCAGACACCAGGAACTCAGGGCCGTCCAGTTATGGGGTCTGGGTGAGCATCCCGACAGGGCCCCCAGCCTGTGGCTCAGCCCTGCTGTCCTGTGGGCTAGGCCTAAGGTCAGGCCTTGAGGACTGAGCCTTCCCGCCACCAGACTGGAGAGCACCCAGCAGGGACCAGCACCTTTCCTGCCCCCTCCTTCCTGCCCAACCAGGGCGTGGAACACTCACTGCCAGGATGGGCTGTAGGTGAGGCCTTGTTTGAAAGGCAGTGAGTGACAGTCCCTCTGATGCTGGGGCCACACAGAGGCGAAGCTGGCAGGCAGGGGAGGGACTCAGGGAGAAGGTGCCTCAAAGGCCAGGAAGGCCGTGGGTAGGGTAGCGTGGCACATCCCACACGGCCCCAGAAGTGGTGTCTGAAATCCCAGCCGGGGAGCCTCCCTGCCAGGTGCCAATTAGAGGGAGGCGGCTGCCCTCGGGTACCCAGATCAGGGCCTGGTGCCCGTCCCTCCGCTCACTGCCCCCCCAGGGCTTGCCCTGCTGGTCAGCCTGGCAGGGGATGGGGGCACCACTCACCCAGCATCCACCCTGCGGGTGGTCTGGCTTCTCAGGCGCAGGGAATTGCCCAGGGAGCAGCCCAAGGGCCTGTAGAACGTTCCTCAGACTTCGCTCCGGGGCTGAGTCCCCAGGGCCTGGGCCTTTGCTTGCCCTCTTCCCTGCGGGGCTGTTAGTGGCACCGCCAGACTTGGAGAAGGCCCCCAAAGATCTCCCAGCCTTGCTGGTGGGGTGCAGCCGAGGAGGTGGCCTTCCACTGTTGTGACCCTTGCCTGGAAGCGTGTGGGCCTCTCTTGACCTCTGACCTCTGAGGAGGCCCCTGCTGGCTGGGGGGTAGAACCTTTCCAACCTGCTGAGGTCCATCTGGGCTGTTCCAAACTGGACCTCCCACCCAGAGAGCAGCCAGGGCCAGAGCACCTGGGGCTTCCTGGAGGTGAACCTGAGGGGCAGCCGGGCGCGCTGGGGTCGTGGTCAGCGTCCGACTGTGCGTAGCACTGCTCCTTGGACCAACCGAGCAAAGGAAACAAGCGGCTTGGAGGGGCACATCTGCGCTTTGCACTTTGTGGGACGTTGCAAACTTTGCTCCCAGGCCCCTGCCACAACCTTTCTGCAGTCAACCAGTTAAAACGCAAAACCTGTGCAGATTCCTTCCCGGTAAGGAGACCAGCGGAAGTACAAGGCCACAGGCACACCTCCTACGGCTGAGGGCCTCCCACGCAGTGGACATTGGACTGGGTGGACTGGGTGGTTTGGACTGTGTCCACGTGTTTCACTGATGACCCCAGTGGATGTGTTTACACAGAAGCTGGGTCCTGGACAGGCCTGGTCAAGTCCTACCGAGGGCCTTGGGGAAAAGCTGGGACATCCACCCTATGGGGGGGCCACCGCTATCACAGCCCCTGAGGGCAGCCCTCTCTCTCAGGTGTGGGCTGGGGGCTCACGGCACTGACTCAGGCTGGAGTGCAGAGACCCTGTTCCTGGTGAGCTGAGAAAGATGGACTCTGGCTGCTAGAATCCCAGACCCGTGAGCAAAGCGGTTCACCACTCCCCTGGGGGGAGTCTCACCACACGTCTCGGCTGTCTCAGTGAGGATGGGGCTCACTGTGCGGGACGGTCCCCTCTCCAGGGCCCAGCCTTCCACGTGGGTCTAGCCAGCCCTGGGCCCCTTCCCACCTGACTGCAACTTGGGTGTGGAAGGGGCCTGTGTCTGGTGTCTGGCAGATGCAGCCCCTCAACCCACGCAGAGCACAAGCACTGGGGCCGCAGCCCCAGAGGGGGCAGTGAGTTTGCTCAGGGTCCCAAACGCAGCCAGCTCTCCAGGACGCGGCCAGAAGTGGCCTCCTGAAGCAGAGCTGTGGCCAGGATGAACCAGGACTACACCGCGCTGCTGACCTGCTGTCTGGGCAGCCAGTTGCTTCAGTGAGACGTTAATAACTGGGGCGGCAGTGGCATGGTGGCCAGCTCCCCAACAGCTCCTGAGTGGTCACTGGGCTGTTTCCAAGAGGAGCGCCACCCTGCCCCCCAGCCCCAGTGACGTGGTCAGGAGGCTGTACCTCTGGCATTGCATAACTCGGGGCAGTGTTTGTTCCACGTGGGACCGCCTTTCTGCTGGACTCATGGGGGTTCCCATGCACGGCAGAGGTGGTGGTAGAGGAGCCTGGAGCCCCCATCCCACCCCTGAATGCTCAAGAGTCCCAGCGTGACTCCGGGCCTGTCCACGCTCCACACGGCAGGTGGGGACACCAAGGCCCAGGGACGAAAAGAGGTTCCTGGAGTCCTGCCAGGGTCCCGAATGGGTCCTGGGTCTCAACTCCCAGATTTCAGAGCCTGAAATATTCGGCTGCAACCCGAAAGGGTGGAGGTTCAGGGCCACCCAAAGGCACCTTGGAAGGAAGGGCTGGTGCTTGTCTTCTGAAAAACCCACCACAGCGAAGCCTACGGCGCCTAGAGCACACGGCTGTGCTCTGATGCGCACAGGGGTCGCTGCAAGTCAGTCAACTCCACGGCCCCCAGTTTCATCACCCAAACGATGCTGGTGTCTAATTCCCAATCCCAAATGAGGGGACCATAGCGCTGGGACTGTTCACCCAAGGGGATCGCCCCTGAAGGTTCACCCCTAGGAGGGGTTGGGTCCCCTAGAGGGGCACACCTTCTGGGAGATTCCAGCCCTCTAAGGAAGCACTTGGGGGCAGGAGGCCTGTATGCAGAAGGTAGGGGGCCCTGCTCCGTGGAGTGAGCGTCAGGCATGGCCTGGGGGCTTCTTGGTGGAGTAGCTGTGCATGGGCGGACAGGGGAGCCCCGCAGGACGCCACATTTAAAGGCCCACGGCCTGAGGCTGAGCCTCGCTCACCTGACTGGAAAAGTCTAGCTTTGGTTTGTGAAGCAGGCACGGACCTGGGCGGCCACACTGACTGGAGGAGGCAGACACAGCTTGTTGCCCGGCCTCCCTCCCAGCCAGTCGCAGCCACCTGCCTGGCACCGGGACCTTTTGGGTCAGAGGTACTGTTCTCCAGGCTCTCACAGACCTCCCTGGCCCATAGAGGGTGCTGTGGAGTGAGCCTGTTTCCCAGAGGAAGAGACTGAGGTTCAGGCAGGCCCGGCAACCCACCTAGTATCCTGGCACACCAGGTGGGGACCCACAGTTGTCCCAGAGTGAGAGCAACCTGGCCGATGTCATGAAGCCAAGTTCACTAACCTTCCCAGCCTGCCCGTGCATTCCCGGCAGCACTGTCACCAGCTCTGGGTCACCAGTGGACCCCCACGGCGTGGGAGAGCTTTTGGTCCAGGGTGGGCAGCTTCCCTTCCGCTCCCCTCTCCCTCCGGCCTCTCCCTTTCCTCTCCCTCTCCCCTGCCCCCCGTCCTGTGGACGGAGCTGCACCTGGCTGCCCAGACCTCAGCCGAGACAAGAGTCACTCCAGGTGCAGAAGGTAGAAGGGCTGGACTTCAAACCCAGACCCACTGACCACCTGCGCAGCCAGGGAGCCTTCCCGTTATCACCGTTTGGAAAAGACTTTAAAACAAACTCCCCTTACGGAGAAGCTGTGAACGCAGTGCACAGCCCTGGGGGCCCTCACCAGGACCCCCGTCCTCCCACATGGGCTTTGGCTTCAGCAGTCCCTGCGGCTGTGACCCCCAGCTCCACCTTCAAGGCTCCTGCCGGGCTGGCTCTCGTCCGGGCTTGGGGGTGGGCTCCGGGGGAGCCTCTGCTGGCCTCGGCCCTGCCTCCTCTGGTCTCCAGGCCCTCTCGCCTAGGGGACCATCCTCGAGGGTTATGCCATCAGCCCACTTAGACCCACAGTCAGGGTGCTGGAGAAAATGGGCACCCTCAGTTTGAAGCTCTGGGCCCCAACCTGTCCCAGCAGTGAGCAGCTGCTTCCCATAGGGTGCAGCTGGCATTGAGGCTGGCCCAAGGGTGAATGCTCACGCTGGGTGCCTCTGCCATCGAGTGAGACCCTGTGTGTCCTGCCTGGTGCCTGCTCACCCCTCCTAGGAGTCCCCACAAGGGTGCTCGGACATTGGAAGGCTGCCCTGCTTGAGCCAGGGGAGGCGGCCCGTCTGCTCTCCTGATATTGTGGGCAGGCTCGGGGCCGATGCTGGAGGGACCAGGCCTGAGTGCCCCCCTGTGCCCACAGGCCTGAGTGCCAGGCGTGGACAAGGACACTGCTGCTGGGTACATGCCTGCTGTACTGCGCCCGCGTGAGCATGTCGGTGTGCACCGTGTCCATGAGCCAGGACTTCGGCTGGAGCCGAAAGGAGGCAGGCATCGCCCTGAGCAGCTTCTTCTGGGGCTACTGCCTGACGCAGGTGGTGGGCGGCCACCTTGGGGACCGGTAATACCCCTTCTCCCCACCTCAACACGTGGGCCCCCAAGCAGAGGGAGGATGTGGCTGAGGGGGAGGGGGAAGTGGCCTCTGGGGAAGGGCCGTTGGTGCTGAAACTTGGGGAGGAGCCTCACCCAGAGGAAGAAGTCCAGGGCGAGGGAGGGGTCCACCCAGGTGGGAGGAAGTCGTCTGGCTGGGGCGGGCTGAGGGGGATCCGTGGGCACAGCAGCCCTGGGGAGTGTCCTAGCAGAGCGACTCTGGGCAGAGCGGGTGTGTGGAGAGGGGCGGACAGATGCACAGACAGGCCCCTCATCTCCCACTGTCCCGGTACACCCCCTGCCACCCTTCCCCTCTCACCCCTCCCTGCCCTCCTTGTTTCTCCCTAGGATTGGAGGCGAGAAGGTCATCCTGCTGTCAGCCTCCGCCTGGGGCCTCATCACGGCCGCCACCCCGCTGTTAGGCCGCCTTGGCACTGCCCATCTGACCTTCATGACCTGCTCGCGGGTCCTCACGGGCCTGCTCCAAGGTAAGGCCCAGTGTGCTGCCTTGGGCTCTCCAGTAAGAGCTGGGAGGGCAGGGAAGTGTGTGTATGTGGGACTGCATGCATATGGCATGTGTTCACATATGTTCTGTGTCCATGTGTGCACATATGTACCCATGTGGGTATGTGCACGCACGCACACACTTCATTCATGTATGTCCATGTGCACATGTGGACCTGTGTGTCCACACGTGTGCATGGCATTCATGTGTGTGTGTGCATATGTATAACCATGTGAGTATGCATGTGCACACATGTGCATTGCATCCATGTGTCTCTGTATGTTTACCTGTGTGTGTGCGCGCGCACACGTACTGCATTTGTGTGTGCCCATGTGTGTGCATGCGTGTGAGTGGGCATTCTTAGACACTCTCAGACGCAACACAGTGAGGACCAGTGATGCACATGCCATGAACCCCGCCAGCTCCACACTTTGTCATCATCATGTTAGCCCCGTGGGTGACATATTCCAGCCAGAGGAGCCTGCTTCATGCCTCAGGTTTTGTTTCTTATGAACACTGGAGTTGCCTCGATCACCAGGGAATTGGAGCTGCTCGATTGTTGAGGGCTGGGGGCTCCTTGCCTACTGGAGCCACTTTTGGGGGTCCCCAGGGCCTATAGGGGAGCTCTGGTGGCATAGTGGCTAAGGCACTTGACTACTAACCGGAAGGCTGGCGGTTCAAATCCACCAGCCACTCCTCAGAAGGAAGGTTGGGCAATCTACCTCCTCAGTGATACTGCCTCAGAAACCCAAGGAGGGGTCGCTATGAGTTGGATCCGACTTGACGGTGGTGGGTTTGTTTTGGTTTAGGGCCTACAGGGAGGTTCCTGCCCCTCAGCCCACCCCTGCCTCTGGGCCACTGTACCTGCAGCTCCAGGGCATGGCCTGGGCTCTGCTGCCCTAGAGCCCAGCCCTTCGTCCTCTCAAGTCCAGGAGTCTGGAAGCTTCTTCACTGGCCTCTTCCCTCCTGTTTCTACCCTCCTAGCTGACTGAGTTTCAGACCTTGCTGGCATTGCCCCCAAACCTCTCAGAAGCAGGGAAGGGGTCTGTCCCTGGAGCAAGGCCACTTTTGCAGCCAAGGATCTCATATGAGAAATACAGACAGTCCGACAATGCCAGGACCCACAGGGCCTGCACATCCTGGCCCTCAGGGGTAGGGACATTGTGACCACCAGTGCAGTGCATGGGTTAGAGTCATTGTTTGGCCCTGTCCCAGGGCCCCCACAGTCACGGCCTTGCATCCTCAGATCATCCCGAGCACAGCAGGTGCCAGCGGAGGCCGTTAGTGGTGGTGAGTCAAATGGCAGACGAAGGAGCCAGTGAATGAATGAGCGAATGAATGAGTGACTGACCAGCCATGGTGGCAGGAGGACGGGGGCCTTCAGTCGGGCCTCCTTGGAGTTGGTGCAGGTGTGGGCAGGTATGGAGAAGACAAGGGGGCCTTTGGTAAGAGGAACCTGCCATCCTTGTGTTCATGGGGGGCCAGGCCTGGGAAGGGCCCACTCAGGTGCCACGCCCTCACGGGGCGGTTTGATTGTCCTCAGACTTGGCCCCTGACGCTGCTTTGTAGAACTCTCTCTTGGTGTCAGGTGTCGCTCCTCCACCATAATGTCTGCTTCGGGACGGGGTGCCCTCGTGGCCTTGGCAGTGCCACCTGACTGCCGTGCAGGCTGGGGGGGTGGGCTTCCACGTGTGTGCGCATGTGGTCAGCAAGAGAGGCGTCCGTACTTCCCAGGACCAGGGGCTCTGAGCCCTGGGGCTCTGGGTGGCCCAGTAGAGCCGCTGCTGAGGGCATGGGGATAGGCCTTCGGAAGCTACCTTCCCTTTGCTTGGCTCTTTTTCCATGTCCTGAGGGAAGCTCTCTGTGTGACTGGCACTTCCTGCCACCTGGAAGCTGGCTGCTACCACGGTCGATTGAGCTCAAGTGGCAGTTGTTTGAGCTGTGTCACTCTGGATGAGTGGCGAGTGTGTGGTCACGGTCAGGGCCCGGCCCCTAGAGGAAGGCCCTGTAGGCTCAGGCTCCCATTCAGGACAGTAGGCATGCTGCCCCCACCCCGTGCTCACTGGAGCTTTCTGTGACCGATGTGGAACGGGAGGCTGCAGCTTCCTTAAACTTTTTATTTGTGACCACCTAGAGGCACTGGGGTCACTATGAGTCAGGGCTGACTCGACAGACAGCACGTAACAACAACAACAACAGAGGCACTGGAAGCTGCCAGAGGACGCTCCTTGGGTGACCCTCCCAAAGCCTGCAGCCAGAAGCCTGCGACTGACTCTGGTGCCCCCCACAGGCCAGCTAGGGTTCTGCCAGATATACATGCACATGTCAGTGTGAAAGTGTGCATGCATGTGTGAGTGTGTGACTGCATGCATGTGAATGAGCATGTGAGCATTTGTACAACTGTGTTTGTACATGTGTGTGCATGTGTGTGCACAGGCAGGTGAACGTGTATGTGCATGTGTGCATGCATATGAGAGTATGTGTCCATGGTGTGTACGGTAGAGTCTGAGAGTATGTGCAGATATGTGGGTGTGTACATGTGTGTACCTGTGTGTGTATACGTGTGAGTGTGCATGTGAGAGTTTGTGTATGTGTGTGTGAGTGTGCATGTGTCAGAGTGTGGGTACATATGTCTGAGTGTATGTGTGAAGGTGTGTATGTGTGCATGAGTATGTATGTGTGTGTATTACTTGCATGTGAGTATGCGTATGTGTCTGTGCATGTGAGCATGCATGTGTATATGTGTGCGCGTCCGCATATGTGACTGGACATGTGTGTGAGCATGCACATGTGATGAATGTGTATATGCATGTGAGCATACATGTGTCAGAGTGTGTGTGCATCAGAGTGTGAACATTCTTGTGAGTGCAAGTGTGATGAGTGTGTGCATGTGTGTGAACATGAGTGGGTGTATGTGCATGTGAGTGTGCATGCATCAGAGTGTGTCTGTGTACATGTGAATGTGCATGTATGCGTGCATGTGAGCATGTGTGTACATGTGTGGATGTGCATGTGTTAAGTCTGTACATGCTTGTGAGTGTGTATGTGTCAGAGTATGTGGGTGTACGTGCATGTGAGGATGTGTGTTTATGTGTGTGAGCATGCATGCATGTGTCAGTGTGCACGTGCATGTAAGCATCCATGCGTGTGTGTGCATGTGAGCATGCATCAGAATGCGTACATGTGTGTGTGTGCGAGTGTGCAGGTGTGTGTCAGAGTGTGTGCATGTGTGAGCATGTGTGTATGTGTGTGTGACACTCACAGTCAATATCAACTGTGCTCTTTCTGTGGTCACTCCTGTGCTCTCCTGCAGTGGGATGTCCCAGGGTCTCCGAGTGCCTGCACCTCACACCACTGTCCACTGTCTCCTCATGACCCTGACACTAAGCGTCTCAGGCCCAGGCTGCAGGGTTAGCTTGAACAAAGACACGATCGTATCAGCGAACGGTGTGTGATAACAATATCCATGAGTTCAAACACATCCTGTGGGCTGCAATAACACACAGTCATGACACGGACAGAGAGCCAGTGCCTGGAGACAGAGGCTTTTACACTTTTTAAAGCTGCTGCAAAATTTTTTGTTGAAAAAAATCCTAGAATGAAGCTGCCCCAGGAAAAAGGTGCATGTGTGCACATGTGCATGCATGTGTGCAAATGTGTGCATGTACATGTACATGTGTTATATGTATGTCTACACAAGGGCTCTGTGGAGCACAGCTGGAAGCTGGTGGGGTAATAGGAGTGTGTGTGTATGCACATGTGTTGTATGTGTTTGTATGTATGTGCACATATGTGTGTTCGCATGCACGCGTCAGTGCAAGGGCTCTGTGGACCACAGCTGGAAGTGAACATGAAGGTGGTAGGAGTGTGTGCATGTATATATGTGTGTGTTGTGTGTGTGCATGCACATGTTGTATACATGTGTGTGCATATGCAATGGTTGTACATGTCCATTCAAGAGCTCCACAGACTGCAGTTGCAAGTGGGTGGAACAGTGGTAGGAGTATGTGTGCATGTGTATATGTGTGTGCTATATATGTGCATACACATGTTATATACATATGTGTGCATAAACACACGTGTGCATGTGCATTCAAGGGCTCCATGGACCACAGCTGGAAGCCGGTGTGTTGGTGATAGAAGCACCGCTTAGAACCGGAAGCCTTTGTAGCTCCTTCTGGCCGTTGGTCGGGAGCCTGGCTCCTTAGCCGAGTGTCATCCAACTTCACTATAAACTTGGGTCTTCCCCTCCCTCCTCCTCACTGGGTGGGCACTTACGGGGTGCTCCCATTCTGGTTCCTGGCTCTCTCCGGACCCCCGCGTGACCGCTCAGGCCCGCGGACTCTGCACCTCCTGCTCCAGGTGTCTACTTCCCGGCCCTGACCAGCCTGCTGTCACAGAAGGTGGGGGACAGTGAGCGGGCCTTCACATACAGCACCGTGGGCACCGGCTCCCAGGTTGGGTGAGTCAGGCCACCGGGCAAGACGGGCCAGGGAAGGGTCTGCCCTCCAAGCTGCTGGCCCAGGCCCTGCTGGAGGTGATGTGGGGGCTTTGGGACCATGGTGGGGGAAGAGCTCCTTCACTTGCCCCCTTTTGTCTGCTAGCAGGTGAGGTAAGGGTGCTGTCTGGCCCTCTGTAGGGCTGTAGGCCAAGGGGTGAACAGCCTGGTGCCCCGGGGCATGCCCTCCCCTCTGCCCTCCTTCCCAGAACCCAGCCCTCAGACAGCTCCTGGCTTCACTGTCCCCATCCAAGACCTTGCTCAGGCTGGAGGACCATGCCAGCACATCCTGTAGCCACCTCATAGGGTGGACATATGCTCAGGCCGATGGATGCCTTACCCCCCCCACCCCAGGCTCAGGGCCCTTGGAAGGGCCACGGGGGAGAACTCAGAGGGGCAGAGAGGCATGGGGTGTGCCCAGAGCAGCTGGGCAGGCCGGGGGGGAGGCAAACCCTGGGGATGGACCCTTCCTGACATGGCTCATGTTGACAGGAAGTTCAGGTCCCACCCAGTCCTGCAGTTTGTTGTCCCCGAGCTGGGGCACAGGCAGGCCCCCAAATGTGCTCACCCCACATGGCCCTGCCCAAGACCACCCACTGGGGCTGTGTCTCGGAAGACCGTTCGTCAACCAGCTGAAGTCCTCCCCAACACAATAAGACGGGGGTTCCAGCGGCAGCCTCGGGGGGCTCCAGGGCATCTTCTTGACCGAGGTGTGGCCTTCCAGAACGCTGCTGACTGGGGGCGTGGGCTCCCTGCTCCTGGACTGCTGTGGCTGGCCAAGCGTCTTCTACGCCTCTGGTGGGTTCACCTTGCTCTGGGTGTATTACGTGCACAGGTACCTGCTGAATGAAAAAGGTAACGGCAGGTGGAGTGGGCAGGGCATGGGCGGGTCCTGGCACGGTCAGGTCTGGCTGCCCCTCCCCGCGGGGGCCATGGGGCGTCTGCAGGGCAGGGCCCCCTGGGCTGCCAGCTCTGCACCTGCCAGAAAGAGCCCTCAGAGCAGCCTGGCTGTGCCAGCTGCTGTCGGATCAGCCCTAACTCAGGACGACCTGGCGAGCAGGGGGACAAGACGCTGCCTGGCCCTGCCCCATCCTCGATCCTTTACGGGTCAGACCGCCATGATGTATGGGGTTTTCACAGGCTGGTTCTAGAAGTAGGTGGTCAGGTCTTTCTTCCTAGTCCGTCAGCCTGGAAGCCCTGCTGAACCCTGTTCAGTGTCCCAGCACATGCCAGCCTCCATTGACAGCTGTGTGTGAGGCACACTGGCCGGGAATCGAACCCACATCCCTCACATAGAAGGCGAGTCTTTGACCCTGAACCCCCGCTGCCCCGACTAGCTAGCGCTTTGGGAAACGACATCTGAGTGCTGAGCTCTGAGCCCTGGCTGCGGTCGGCATATCCAACCCAGAACCTTCTGCCTGGAGATAGGGCGGCCGCACGGGAGGGAGGGAGCCCTCCAGGCAAAGGTGGTGATCTCATGGTGAGCTCCAGGAAGGACACAGGAATGTGGCACGCTCCCCGGCCCAGGGGCCTTAGCAGAGTTTGAGGCTGAAGGCGGTACAGTGCAGGCAGCCGGACTGCACGGGGCCGGGGCGCGCTGACCCGACAGGCCACCCCATCCCTCAGGCCGGAGCGGGCGCCACTCTGACAGCTCTTGCTCCTCAGATCTCATGATGGCCCTGGGCGCATTGATGCAAGGCCTGTCTGTTTCCAGACACACCAAAGTCCGCCGGGGACAGCTGTTCCGGAAGTCGGCAGTGTGGTGAGTCGGCCAGCCAGGGCAGGGCTGGGGCTGGGGGCTTGGCCCCTGGGGGGCTGGCATTGCCCCAGTGCCAACTGACCAGATGGGCACTCCCGGCTCTCTGACTGGGCTGCATATTGGGGGTCCGTGCGCACCGTCAGACCAGCTCACAGGAGGTCTGGCCCCCCTCCTGGTGTGGCCATGTGGGCTGTGGGGAGGGGGTGCAGTCGGGAGGGGGCACCAGCGCCGCTGTCCGGGCCCTGAGCAGCCCCCGCCTGCCCCAGGGCGGCTGTCTTCTCTCAGCTCTCCTCCGCCTGCACCTTCTTCACCCTGCTGTCCTGGCTGCCCACCTTCTTCAGGGAGACCTTCCCTAACTCCAAGGTGGGTCTGCCTGGCCTCCGGGTACACACGGGCTGGGCTGGGGCTGGGGGTCTCAGGCACCCCAACCTGGTGCAGAGACCGTGGGGACCCTGTGGTGGTCGGCAGCTGCTCTCGCCCACAGACATCTCCCCCGAATGCGGCCGTGTCTCTGCTCTCAGGCGGGTGGGGCGCTCTGGCCCCAGCGCCGTTTCCCACTGCGGCAGCCGTTTTCGCTGAGCCCCACCCCGAGCAGCTGCTTCAGCCCCTGACAGCCCCACCCTCAGGGTCCAGCTGCTAGGCTGCCTAGCAGTCTTCCCAAGGCGGGGGGCCTGGGCAGGGGCCCTGGGAGGGGAGAGGCGCTGCCCCCGGTGTCTGGGCCCTCCTGGTCTCAGGCGGTCGGAGCAGCAGAGGCCGTGGGTGTCAGTGGGGAGGGAATCCTTTCCAGGATGGCAGGTGTGGGCAGCAGTGGCCATGTTGGCGGGTGTGGGTGGTGGCGGGCATAGGCAACAGTGCCCTGAGTGGCAGTGGTGGGGCCTGCCCCAGCCCAAGCCCCAGCCCAAGCCCCAGCCCAGCCTGTGTGTACCAGGAGGCCAGGCAGACCCACCTTGGAGTTAGGGAAGGTCTCCCTGAAGAAGGTGGGCAGCCAGGACAGCAGGGTGAAGAAGGTGTGGCTGACCTTCTGAGCTGTCTCCCCACAGGGCTGGGTCTTCAACGTGGTGCCTTGGCTGGTTTCCATCCCTGCCAGTCTGTTGAGTGGGTTTCTCTCAGATCACCTCATCAGTCATGGTGAGTCCTGGGAGGGGGAGTAGGGCCAGGGCCGTTGGGGGAGGGGAGGGGCTGTAGGACAGAGGCGGGGCCTTGAGTGTCCCCCCAGAGGTGGTGGGACCTTGTGGGGAGGGGAAGCAGGAAGGGCTGGGGGGGGGGGGTGGAGGCGGACCATGAGCCAAGCCCTTGAATCTCCTGGGGTTGCAGCTACAACTCTGGGAAGAGGCCCACGCCCAGGAGGCCTCCGCTGTGACAAAGTGGCAGCCCTGCCCTCTGGTGTGGACACAGCAGGGGCAGTGGTGGGGCCACCCAGGCCTCAGCCTACCTCAGACTGCTGCCCCAGCCTCAGTTTACCCGCTTGTTAAAGGGCGAGGGATGTCACGCAGTGACAAGACCCAATCTCGACTGTAGCTGTACGGCTCTCCTGGAGGAGGGCGGGAGGCTCCTAAGGGTCAGCAGTCAGGGCCCTAACGCCACCCATTGGCCCAGGTGGGGACACCCTGTCCCCGAGAGTGTCCACCGATTGGGCTCCAGCCCCTCTTCCCACACGAGCAACATCTCAAACACACATGCAGATCCACACGCACACTCACATGCCACTCTCCCAGGCAAGCCCTCTCTCTTAACTGTGAAGTGACAGGGGCTCACAGTGGAGAACTAGACAATGTGGAGGCACAGAAACTAGAGTCTCCATGTGACTGTTGCATGTCCCTTGTGCAGCCTTCTCATGCCTGCTGCTCAGTTCAGGAACCTCCCAGGCATACGTCTGGTGTGCAGCATGATGCGTAACACACACATGCACACATGCACACACTGGTGTGCTGCATAGATACACATGCACACAAACACACACACACGTACGCACACATGTGGCATGCAGCATAGATGCACATCACATGCACACACAAAGGTGTGCTGCATAGATGCACACCATATATACACACATGTACATGCAGGTACATGGTGTACTACAGATGCATACCACACACACGTGTACACACACACACACATGGTGTGCTGCGTAGATGCACATCACATACATATACACGTGTGCACACATATCCATGTGTGGCATGCTGCATAGATGCACACACATGAACACATGTGTGTGCACATTCACCACATCACAGGACAGCCCTGTCCGAGCACCAAGGCCCCTGGCTCTAAGCTCAGCTGAGTTTGGCCAGATGCTTCCCCAGGGTGCAGTCCAGGGAAGACGCCCACAGGCTGACGGAGCCCTTCCCCCCCCCCCCCCCAGGTTACCGGACCATCGTGGTACGGAAATTCATGCAGGTAGGAAACTATTGCCTTGATTCTCCCTGGACCTGAGAACTGTGCTCCCAGATCTCCCAGTTTCTGGGGCCAAAGCCCACCAAGCGGCCAGGGCCAGACCCCCAGGTGCTGGTTCAGTGCCACAGCAGAAGGGAGCTCTGGGTTGGTGTTGGGTACAGTGTGGCCAGCTGGACCCTTCTCTGAGCTCCCCACATGGGCCCTCTGCCCCTTGATCCAGACACCCCTTTCTGGATCTGAGCTTATGTCCAGTGGGCTCCCCTCACTCTAATCAGGGAGGACTCAGCCCAAGGGGACAGGGGTCAGATCTAACCTACAAAGTCTGGGCACTGTCCCCAGGACACCCTCTCTTCAAGGGTCCCCAGGACACCCTCAGACTTGATAATGCTCTGAAATGACTCACAGAAGCCAGGAGGGCTCTGTCCTCACTGAGTCCGCCCTAAGACTCTAACCCAGGGAGATGCGTATGTGGAGAGGTTCATTATACTGAGGTTGGCTCCCAGTCAGTGGATGCTGGCGGATCCAGACGCTGCAGGTAGGGGACAGGCTGGAGGCTCTGGCAGGCTCGAGTTCCAAATTGGTGGGTCAGGCGTGGGGAGGAAGGGGCTCTGGTAGGATGTCTGCTGACAGCCTGCACGCAGAGCCTTCCCCAGGAAGCCTGGGTTTTGCTCCTGAGGCCTTCAGCTGGTAGCATCACCCAGTGATGGCAGGTGGTCTGCTCTCTACTGAAGGCCAACTACCCCAATCACACAGAACTACTTCATAGAGACATCAAGACCAGTGTTTAACCAAACAGCTGGGCACGACAGCCAAGCCGTGGTGACACGTGAAATGAGCCATGACATTCCTCCTTCATAATCCACATATTACATATTGCCTGAGGCATTTGACTGCTAACCAGAAGGCTGGCAGTTCAAACCCACCAGCCCTCAGAAGGAAGACTGGACAATCTGCTTCCGTAGAGATACCGCCTCGAAAACCCAAGGAGGGGTTGCTATGAGTCGGAATTGACTCAACGGCAGTGAGTTTAGTTTGGTTTTTGGTTTATACGTGTTATAACAGAAAGACACAAACCAGCCGAAGGAAGAGACCTACAGGCTAGGGTCTGGGAGGTAGAGCCTCCTCCCGGCCATGACATGTGACGAGGCCAGCAAGCCCGCCACACCTCAGTGTCCAGGCTTCAGGGTTCACTGGAGCTGCACTGTGTGAACATGAGTGACTAACGGGTCACCGCGTGGTCAAGCACAGTCTGCAGCCCCTCACTCTCCAGGAGTGGGGCTGACTGCCAAGGGGCCACCCCAGTCACGTCATTAGCTCTCAGGTGGGGTCCAAGGAGCCCACACTGAGTGACAAAGACATGCCTACCACTCGGAAGGTCTCAACAGTTTAGGGTCACTCCCCAGAGGCAGGATCAAGGCCAGACCACTCTGCGGTGGCTGCTGGGCAGCGTCATCGGCATGATCCGCCCCCACCTGCCCTTCGCACCCTTCCCCCGCAGGCCATGGGCCTCGGCCTGTCCAGTGTTTTCGCCCTGTGTCTGGGTCACACCTCCAGCTTCTGTAAGTCCATGGTCTTCGCCTCAGTCTCCATTGGTCTCCAGACCTTCAACCATAGGTGAGGCCACCACCCCTCTATGTCGGGTCTCGGAGGTGCAGCCCCCACAAGGGAGTGAGCCAGGGAGGCAGAGGGGACCCAGTCCCCTGGGAAAACAAGCTCACAGGAGTGGGTGGGGGTGGGGGTGGGGAGCAGTGCGAATCCCGCACTCCCAAGGGAAATAGTCTTTGTCCCAAGGGTACCCAGCTCTCTGAGCCTTGCCCCTGCTCTGCCCCCTCCCAGAGCCCCTTGGGGACTCCCCAGTCTGTAGTCACTTTTCACACCACCTGAACTGCGACAGACATGCACCATGCTTCAACCACCCCCCTTTTGTCTCGGGGATGGGGTTCCAGAAGCCCCTGGAAGAGATGAGGAAGACAAGGTCCCACACAGGTGGTGGGTGGGGGTCCTCTCCCCACGGCCAGCCCTCTTTGCCCCACCGGCCTTTGGCTGCCATGCCCCACATCTGCCATCTCCCTGTCCCCCTACAGCGGCATCTCTGTCAACTTCCAAGATCTGGCTCCATCCTGCGCCGGCTTCCTGTTTGGTGAGGACACCCAGCTCCCAGCCCCACCCTGGATGCCTCCAGGGCCTGGCCACCTTCTCTAACTGATTCCTCTTCCCACTCACCCCCTGTTCACAGGTGTGGCCAACACAGCAGGGGCCTTGGCAGGTAAGGGGTCTCCACGCCAGGTCCCCTGACCAGAGATGAGCCCAGAGGCAGGGTGCCCCCTGCCACTTCTCACCCCAACCCATTCTTTCACCCCTTCCCAGCTCCTCCAGTCCTGTTCGAGGAGAGCAGGGTGGGCCCTTAAGACGAGGGCCCATGATGGGGAGGGCACAGAGGAGATGCCAGGGGCTCACCTGCACCCCCTATGGTGGAGGGGGGCACAGAGGAGCCCCTGGCAGTGGGTGGACTCAGCCTGAGATGCAGGAAAAGAATCTGACTGAGTGGCCACATCCCCGCTGCCAGGGTCCAGGTGCCCCCACCCATAGTGTCCCGTACCCCATCTCCTCTTTGGAGGGACACAGGAGCTCAGGCACAGGTACCCTGCCTGGTGGGCCACCCCTGGGTGGATGTGGGCCTCTGCCCCTCCCCCAGGCCCTTGGGGTCCAAGACCACCCATCCCCTTCCCGGTCCCTCTGACATGAGAATTCTGGAATCCCACTCTCAGAACCACTGGGCTGCTCTCCATCGGGCCCGCCCAGCTCCACTCCGGGACGGCCTGGACTGGGGCCTCTTGGGGGCTGCCCTGGGTTCCGCTGGCCCACTCGCCCTCTTTCTCTCGGACAGGTGTGGTCGGTGTGTGTCTGGGGGGCTACCTGATCGAGACCACGGGCTCCTGGACCTCTCTCTTCTACCTGGTGGCCGTTGTCAGCAACCTGGGGCTGTGCACTTTCCTGGTGTTCGGGAAGGCCCAGCGGGTGGACCTGAGCCCCGCCCGTGAGGACCTCTAACCCCTCCCACTGCACAGGGAGGCAGGGGTGCATGCTACAGGGGTGTGTGGTGCAGGGACATGGGGATGTGTGAAGGGGGGCCCAGGATGAGAGGATGCAGGCGCCCCAGCCTCCTGACCCACGCAGGGCAGAGGGGGGCCAGGCCTCAGGTCCAGGGGCCCTTGCTCAGGGCCATGCCCATCCTTGCTCAGAGCCTGTTTCCCACCTGTGGTGGGGCAGTCTTGCTCTTGCACAGGTTTGGGGGTGACCATCAGAGACTCAGGGTGTGTCACTTAGTGGCTTCACCGCAGACAGGGCCTGTTCCAGAGCCAGCCACACTTCCCTGGGGCGCCCCACCTGGAGGACCGAGTGCTGCCCGGACCATGTGCCTTCTACCACAGGAGCCCAGCAGGCAGGGGGCCCCCACCCCAGGCAGCTCAGCTCTGTGCCTCGGGACTGGACTCTCCCCACCCCAGATACTGATACTGGATTGGGCCCTTCTCTGGGGTGGGCGGTCCTGTGCCCGCAGGGAGCTGCGCATGTCCCTGGTCTCAGCCCACCCCCCCCAGACCTGAATGCTCCCAAGGAGAACTCTGCCCCAGCTGAGACCCACAGCCCCAGACGAAGGCCACGGAGCACTGCTCCCAGGAGCAGGCTGCCCCCCAGCTAGAGGTCCTGGCCCGTCTCTGGGGACCCCCTGCTTCCCTGACCCCCACGGTGCTAACTATGCATCCTGAGAGTGCAGTGAAGGTCCCAGAGCCACCGCGGGACCGGTGGGCCCACCCTCCCGGGCCCCTAAACACCCTGAGGTGCATGCCGCTGCATACGGTGGGGCACTGCTCTGCCTGCTGCCCAGGCACCTTCGGCAGCCCTGCCTGAGCTGACCACTGCCCCTCTGTTTCCTGGCCACCGGCGGGTAGAGCCCCCAGATGAAGGCAAGCCTGTTCCTGTAAACAGAGGGCTTGGCCGTGCCATCAGTGGGGACGTGATGCACTCAGGAGTGCATGAAGAAGCTCATACTGTGCCAAGTCACGCGGAGCCTTATTTAAATGACCATTAAAAGCTATTTAAATGAGGCCTTTAGGAACCTCCTTGCCCACAATCAACTGTGCAATGAAAGAAGGGGCGTCCCTTCCCATGGGAGCTGCTGGAGTCCTTACCACCTTGAGACCACAAGAAGGGAGTGTGGACACAGGACTCTGCAGGTCACCCGAGGTGTGTGGGTCCTTCCCGGCTCACTGGGCTTGGGAGGGGTGAGGGGAAGCCACTTGGTCTGTGCACAACTGTAGCTCCCCAGTTTCCTGGGGCCCGAATCTTATCACACTGTCCTATGTCCTCACAGAATGGAGGCTGGTGTGGCACACAGGCTAGCTGTACCTCACTGTGTGGGGGCACCCCTTGCCTCATTGCTGTGGGGGTTCTGCCACGTCACTGTTACAGTGGACCTTCCAGGGCAGATCTGTGCTGCAGGCTGGGGGCTCATGCGGCCTAGGGGAGAGTGGGCGGGTCCTGGGGACAGGAGGGCGTGGCCTGCAGGTGGATGGTGGGCTGTGAGCCCTTTCCAGTGCAGCCGGGCTGGTTCAGACAGGCAGCCCTTCCACACTGTCCCACACGTTCAGGCAGGCCTCTGCCCACTGCTTGACCTGCGTAGGGCTAAAACAAGGGCCACCCTTAAGAAGAGGCCAGCAGCAGTGGAGCGAGAATGGGAGAGAGTCTGCACCCACTCACTGCCCCGTTATTTCTCTCTGTCTCTCTGCCTGGATCTCTCACTCACTCACTCACTCACTCGCTCACTCACTGATGGTCCCCTGCACTAGCTCAGTGTCACCTCCAGGCTCACCTATAGTGTGCTCAGTTCAGGGCTCAGGAAGCTGCCATGGGCCCATATGTCACCTCAAACGGTCCATTTACTGCAGAAGGAAGAGAGCGTGGAGCAACCAAGGCCAGGTGTGTGCTAGAGGGTGAGTGTGCGAGCAAGTGTCTGTGCACGTGAGCCTGTTTGTGTGTGTGACCATGTGTGATGAACAAGAGTGTGTGGAAGTGTTTGTACATATATGACAGTGTGTGAGTGTGTGCGTGAGTGTAGAATATGTGTGAATGTGTATGAGTGTGTGACCATGTGAGTGTATCACTGTGTGAATATGTTGTGTATGAATACATGTGTATGTATGTAAGCATGTGAGTGTGTTAGTATCTGTGAATGTATGTGTATGAATACATGTGTATGTGTGTTTGTAACCATATGTGTCAGTATGTGTGCATTTGTTTATGAATACGTGTGTATGTATGTGTGTGTGACCATGAGAGAGTGTCAGTATGTGTGTGTTGTTGTTGTTAGGTGCCGTCAAGTCGTCTCCGACTCATAGCGACCCTGTGTCCAGCAGAACGAAACTCTGCCCAGTCTTGTTCCAGCCCCACGATCCCTGCTATCCCTGAGCCCATCATTGCAGCCACTGTGTCAGTCCATCTTGTTGAGGGCCTTCCCCTTCATCGTTGACCCCACTTTACCAACCATGATATCCTTCTCCAAGGAATGGTCCCTTCTGACAACATGACCAAAGTAGGTGAGACGAAGTCTGGCCATTCTCTCTTCCAAGGAGCATTCTGGCTGCACTTCCTGCAGGACAGATCTGTTAGTCCTTTTAGCAGTCCATCGTACTCTCAGCATTCTTCACCAGCGCCACAACCCAAAAGCATCCACTCTTCTTCCGTCTTCCTTACTCATTGTCCAGCTCTCACACGCATAAGAGGCGATTGAAAATACCATGGCTTGGGTTAGGCGCACCTTAGTCTTCAAGGAGATATCTTTGCTCTTCAGCACTCAAAAGCGGTCTTTTGCAGCAGATTTGCCCAATGCAATACGTCGTTTGATATCTTGACTGCTGCTTCCAATGGTGTTGATTGTGGAACCAAGTAATGTGAAGTCCTTGACAACTTCAATCTTTTCACCATCCACCATTGGTCCAGTTGTGAGGATTTTTGTTTTCTTTATATTGAGGTGTAATCCATATTGCAGACTGTGGTTTTTAATCTTCGTCAGTAAGTGCTTACTTTCAGTAAGAAAAGTTGTGTCATCTGCATATTGCAGGTTGTTAATGAGTCTTTCTCTGTGGTGGTTAAGTTTGTGTGTCAACTTGCTGGGCCTGGTTGAGTAGCTGGGCAACTGAATATAGTTACTTCCCATGGTGAGACTAGTAATAAACTCCATGGTGGAATCTTTTGGAACAGCTGAGTAGCTGCTTTGGGTTTGTGCTCGGCTTCCCATATATAAGAAGCAGCTTTGGAAATGGTCTCTAGCTTATGGCATGCTTGAACCCTGCATGTTGTTGTTGTTGTTGTTAAGTGCCGTCGAGTCGTTTCCGACTCATAGCAACCCCATGCACAGCAGAACGAAACACTGCCCGATCCCGCGCCAGCCCCACAATCCCTGCTATACTTGAGCCCATCATCGCAGCCACCGTATCAATTCATCTCCTCCCCCTCTTTCGTCGACCCTCCACCCTACCAAGCATGACATCCTTCTCCAGGGAATGGTCCCTTCTTACAACATGACCAAAATAGGTGAGACGAAGTCTGGCCATTCTTGCTTCCAAACCCTGCATGTAGCCATATCATTGTTCAGCAGCCTGCCATGCTCTGCTGACCTTGGGACTTTCAATGGATTTGAATTAATGGCCTGCCATGTGGTTTGGAAACATTGGGACTGTGCCTTTTTACTTGTCATCCTTGGGCTTGTCAGCTTCAGCAGCCAGTAGCTGTCTAAGTGAAGAGAAGCCTCCATCTTCAGTGGGCCAGGAGCAGGAGGCAAAGCTGAAGCCCAAGGTTGAGGGGTTTTCACCCAGCCTCTAGAGCCTGGCACTTTGAACTTGGACTTAAAGCCTCCAAACTGTAAGAAAATAAATTCCTGTTTGTTCAGCCATCCCATTTGTGGCATATTCCTGTCAGAGCAGCACTAGGGAACCAGAACATCCTCCAATCCTGACGCTACATTCTTCTTCATGTAATCCATCTTCTCAGATTATTTATTCAGCATACAAGTTGAATAAGTATGGTAAAAGGATACAATCTTGATGCACCCCCTTCTTGATTTTGAGCCATGCAGTATCCCCTTATTCCTCATGAGTATAGTCAAGTGTTCTGGAATTCCCATTCTTCTCAATGTTATCTACAATTTGTTATGATCCACACAATCAAACGCTTTTGCATAGTCAATAAAACATAAGTAAACATCTTTCTGATATTCTTTGCTTTCAGCTAAGATCTGTGTGACATCACCAATGGTATCCCTTGTTCCACAGCCTCCTCTGACACCAGCTAGCATTTCTGGAAGCTCAGTCAATATACTGCTGCAACCATTTTTGAATTATCTTCAGTAAGATTTTACTTGCATGTGATAGTAACAATATTGTTCAATAATTTCCATTCTGTGGGGTCACCTTTCTTTGGAATGGGTACAAATATGGATCTCTTCCAGTCAGTTGGCCGGGTAGCTGTCTTCCAAGTCTCTTGGCATAACTGAGTGAGTGCCTGCAGCAGGGCATCTGTTTGTTGAAACATCTCAGTGGGTATTCTGTCAATTCCTGGAGCCTTGTTCTTCACCAATCCCTTCAGTGAAGCTTCGATTTCTTCCTTTAATACCATTGGTTCTTGATCATATGCCACCTCCTGAAATGGATGAATGTCGACCGATTCTTTGTGCTACGGTGACTCTGTGTATCCCTTCCATCTTCTTTTGATGCTTCCTGTATCATTCAATATTTTCCCCATAGAATCTTTCAATATTGCAACTCAAAGCTTAAATTTTTTCCTCAGTTCTTTCAGATTGAGAAATTCCAAGTGTGTTCTTCCCTTTTGGTTTTCTAACTCCAGGTCTTTGCACATTTCATTATAGTAATTGGCTTTGTCTGCTCGAACTGCTCTTTGAAATCTTCTGTTCAGCTCTTTTATTTTGTCATTTCTTCCATTTGCTTTAGCTACTCTCGGCTCAAGGGCAAGTTTCAGAGTCTCTTCTGACATCTATT